GAAGGCTTGGAGCGGCCTGGGCGTGTCGTTTGCCAGGTAACAGTGCAGCAATGGCAAAAAGGATGACAAATGAAATGTTCAAGTGGCGCTCAGAGCAACAAAAACCAAAACAGAATCAAAAGCAAAAAAAAAGAAAGTAAGCGAACGGACAACAACGAGGAAAAAATATATAAGGTAGAGGAAGAAGAGAAACTTTACTCTATATTTGGGCGAGTTGCTCAGTTTCGCGTGGCCTTAAATCTGACAAAGTGCCACGGCTTACTGCAGTTCGCCATGGGGCATGTAAAATGAAGCCCAAAGACCCGGTAACACCCAGCCAACCAGTCAAAAAAGTTGGCGAAGAAAACTTGACTTTGTCAGCTGGCAGCATTCTGCTGAAAGAGGCACGAACCAGCGACTGTGTGTGTAGGGGAGTTGAGCAAGGGCTATACGCAAATATTTAACTTAAGTAAGCGTTTGTAATTAATTTCATCCTTAATGCTGACACTTTCCTGTGCCTTGCAACACTTTTTCCTGCTGCTGCTCCTTCTGTCCTTCCCTCCCTCTATCGCTCTATAAATCTGCCCCCAGTCGGTTTCTCTTTTCCCGCTCACCGTTATGGCATAATGAACACGCATTTTAAAATAAAGTCTCTCTGATTTTATTGTATGCGTGCGGCTGCCACGTCAAACGCGCAGTTCGTAGTTTGTCTGGGGCCAGCCCAAAAATAAAAAGCAAAAAATGACTGCATAATTTATGTGTCAAGAGTTTGCGGCTACGTTTTTTGGAGAGTAATTGATGTTGCCACCCCGCAATTAACTCCCGCCTGCCAAAGATTTATGCTCTGCAGTTGCCCTGACGCGTGTTTTATGGCGCGTCTTGCCTAAAAGCGTTCTCAATTACATGCAATTAACTGGAACAATTACGGCCCGAAAGTCCGGACGACATACTTACGAATATTGCGCATACGTCATGTGTGACTCAGCGAACAGGGCCAAGGTAAACACCAAATACTACAGCATGAGTACAAGTAATTGCTACTTTAGCTCAGCCAATTTCATGTGATAAGAGGCACAGAACTTTCTCTCTCTCTTTTTAAACAATCTCTTTATGCAACTCCATTTAAATATGTGAGAACATGCCCTGAGTTAAATCTTTAAAATATTTGCCAATTGTTTGTGCTTTTATTATATAAGGCCTTGTCGCTTATGGAGATAAGACACGCCCACATACGAAGACGTAATCATCATAGCCTTTTTTGTAAGCTTCTCAAAGATATCGACTCTTTATGGCGTTTCTGCTGTGAATATAAATTTTATACAAATTTATATAAATTTAATAAATATGTTACATTGTCCGATTTGTTGTCAATCAATAATAGATATATAGATGCCACGGAGATTCCACTTGAAAATCGCTCAAATGTATGAAATTCAGCGTAACAAACCAAGCATCACAAAGCATCTGAAGGATATTTAACAAAAAATAGAAAAGGAAGTCCTCTTCAAGTGCCATTCACGAAATATTGCTGCCTGACAACGCAATTGACAGAAAAAAATGGCAATAGAAACGCCAAATACAAATTTCAAGTGGTATATCAACACTTCAGTGACCACTCGTCAAATCTTCGTCATATTTAAGGCAAGGCAGAGAAGTTCTTATCTTAATCTTCAGCTATTTAAAGCCGGTAACTGCGCAACATCGGAACTTAAGTAATGTGAATAGAAACGTAAATGTTATTATAAAACAATAAAGAACATGAAAGCACAAGATTATCTAACGAGATTTGTTGAAATTATTTAATAATTTTATAGAAAGACGCAGACTCTACACTACAGCTGTTAAGCGGATGTCTTTAGATATGTGGGAATAAAATAATATTTTAAATGATTTCAAATCAATATGTCCACAACTGAAACCAAGATGTCTCCCTTCATGGTTTTTTGATTGCTTTCCATATTCAAACACTTGACTTTTTTATTTATTTTATAGAATTTCATTACATTTGAAGCGCAATACTTAGCTCGCCACACTTAACTCTGCCCCAAGACAACATACAACTACTGCCAAGTGCAGAGCACGCATATACGATTTAAGTTTCATTTTTAAATAGATTTTAAAAAAACCATTGTCAATATTTGACTCTGATTGAATGTCAGATTGATTCACTGAAAGAAATTGACTTTTTTTAAAGTAGTGTAAGTGTTGAAGTATTTTATTCTCATATGTAGACAACGAAGAAAAGTGTGTGAAACTTAATGAATATTGAAAGAAAAACTGCTGCTGTCGTTATATATCTGTTTTAAGTATTTGAATCACAGAATGTTATTCATATATTCATAAGATATATTTCTTTCTACCAGTATTAACACTTTATGTTTGAAATAGTTCTCTTTTTGTTGTACTTCACTTTTCTTTTGCTCCCGCTGCATATTTTTTCCACTCTCAGGTCAATCTATTCGTCCCTCTTGCATGAATTTCATATACACACTTCATATAGTTGCGGCTTATGAATTATAAGCCTTTTAATGGCTATCAAGCAATCCATGGATTGTAGGCAAAGTAAATTGACGCAAGAAAACATTTGAATATAACTGCCAAATAGCTTGGTAAGCAAATTTATTATTTTTAAATTATTAAATATTTTAAAATTTAATTTTATTGTTTATCAATTGTAAAACATTTTATAAATTTCAGAAATATTTTTTATTATAATTTTAATAATTATAAAATATAAATCAAATTAATTTAGAAAACCCAAAGATTCTCTTTAATAAGAAATTTGCATTAAAATCTAGAAATCTATAAATAAGAAATTTTATGAATAATAACTGGAAATTTTCCACGTAAAAAAGTGTCAAGCACAATGTGCGTGCCAAATACTGGGTTCGCTGATGTCAAATAGCAAATTCAACAAAAATAACCCCAGGACGAGGCAATGGCTTGAACCGCAAACAACAATGTCAAATGTAAACTTGATATTTGTAAAAAATAATTTACAATTATTTTAGTTTATGCATTGTGTTGACAGCCATTGACTTCAATAATATGATATATGCAAATTAAATTCTGGTCGAATATATGTATGAGCCACTTTTTTGTTGGCCAAAGTGATGTGGTGCAAAAAATGCTGAAGTACCGAATTTTCAGCAATAACTGCGATAGTAAAAAATTGACACGATATGCTTGGCAAATGCAATATTGGAAAGTATCGTATTTCCCCGTTTTTATCATTTATAGCTGTGCGTGGGCGGGATAATGCACTGACATATTGTAAACTGCAAAAAGAGAATTTGCTTTGACATTTGATATGGCATTTGGTTTCTTGTTGCAATCGCAATTTGCTTTTGAATGTCGCTGGGTTTATTAACTTCTTTGAGCTGGCATGTTTAATTAATTGCTGGTCTCCAATTAGCATACAGAGTGCAGACAGCAGTAGCAGCAGCACCATCACCATCGGCGGCAGCAAATTGAAATTTCTGAAAATACGCAAATGCAGCTACGTAAATGAAATATGGTCTGAAATGTTTGCTGACTGCCAGGCAAAATGAAACAATTAGCAAGATGTGTGCCTTATCGTCAGGCCAGACACTTACACAGTTTGCTTAACGGCAAAACAAATTAAAATCTGTGAAATGCAGTCGAATCTGTGCAGTAGCACAGACCCAGCTAACAGCAGGCTGATCCCATGCCCCAGACCGTGACTTGTTGGCCTTGTTGCTGTTGCTGTTGCGGATGCTGATGCTTCTGCTGACCGCAAGGTATACGCCCAGATGCTGGACATGCTGCTGGCCTTAAATATTTATGCAATTTATTTTTGTCTAAACTAATAAGTTCTTGTTGTTGTACTGCAGCTTGTTTTATCTCATAATGAAATACAATACAGTTTGCATAAGTATATAAATATGTGTATAAACATGTGTGTGTGCGTATGTGTGTGTGTATGGGTGTGTGCCAGCCTTGCATTTTGATATTTGCGCCTGCATGTGGACTACGATTTATTTGCCAGACTCTGTGGCAGCCAAGATGTTAACATATTCATTGAATCTGAATTAGTTTCGTAGCGCTCTGCTCGCACAGCTTGAGCTGTATTTCGAGTTATGAGCCAAAGTCCTAACGCTCTGACTGCTCCCGGCTCTCTGACCTAATAGCCTCACTTGCTTAATTGTTGAAAACGTAGCTGCAGCATTTTTCTAATTAAAATTTAAGTGCAGAAGATGCAAACATCTTTTGGATGATCAGGCAAATCCATCTAAGCCATTTACAGCTGCGTATATTTATGATGAAGAACGATTTGCTGCAAACATTTAAAAACATTTCTTTTGAATATTAAAAATAAAAACAATTAGTGTAAAATACAAATTAGAAACTTTTTCTTTTATTATAATTACGAGCTTACGAGCTCAGTGCTAGCAACTCCTACAGCCACAGTACTCTTTGGACGCATCCATCCATGATAATTCTAGATTTAAGATGTAAATACCAGCTTACAGGCCCACTCACCAGCAAATATTTATTAAATAATGTTTTATATATTTTATTTTAAGCCAGTTTATTCGAGAAATATGATGTTCAACAGATTTGAGATTTTGTTAAATATTTTTGTTGTTTCTCTCAGCGCATCATCTTTACCTACCTAAGCACGCACTCGTAATCCAGCTGTCCTTTGTTAACATACATATATGTGTAGTTGCCAGACAGCACATCAATCATAGTTAATTTCGTGTAACATAAGCCCTGCCTAACTACATAACAAATAAACTGAACATAATGCAAAGCCTTTAAAATATTTAAAATTAACTCAAAGCTAATACGCAAAATGCCAGTAACTTAATATAGAGCTCTGCTAATATTCTTATATATTATTTAAAAATAAAAACATATATATTTTCAACTTATTTATTTTTTTTTAGATTATAACATTATTAATTTATTTATAAAGAAAACAATATATTTAACCTATTACAACATTTTCAGCTATTAATACTATTTTTAATTTTTGACTGACACTCTTTAATATTCTATACCTCATTCACCCTTTGCAGTCCACTCCAGCCATTGATGAGGGTATTCCAGCCCCAGGCACCCACCTGAGCATCAATCCAATTCCTAAATGCTGCCACATTCGCATAGACGCCCGGATATTCTTTCTGGGCGCAGCCCAAGCCCCACGAGACAATACCATAAAGCTTGCCCCGAGCACTGCCGGGCGCATAACCAACAAGTGGACCACCGGAATCACCTTGACAACTGTCGTGACCCTCCCGTGCAGCGCAGAGCATACGTTGGGTAATGGGTAGCACCTTGCCATAAGCGAGACGACAGACGCCCGGCTCCACATGCGACACATCCACGTACCGCAGAGCAGGTGACACACCCTCCTCACCGCCTTCGCTCTGGTAGCCCCAACCGCTAACGTAAAGCCGCGTGTCGGCCGTAAGTATGTCCCCTGCGCCAGCCAGGCTTACAGCTTGCAGGTTCTCAGTATAGTTCAGCTGCGCATTCAGCAGCAAGAGGGCCAGGTCATTATCGTGCGTCTGGCTATTGTAGGCTCCGTGGCGTATAATCTGCCGCAGGCTGAGCAGCTCGCCGCCAGTTTTGTGCTCTGTGGCGCCTAGCCGCACGCTGTAATCGAGCTCAGTCCACGGTTCCTCAAAGCAATGGGCAGCGGTCAGTATGAAGTAATCCCCGATAATGGCACCGCCACAAATATGCTGGCCATTCAGCTGTATGGATGCCTGGTATGGGAAATCGCGTATATCCGTCACCTGACCGCCCACAATGCGTCCATCATATTGGGGCGTGGCACTGCTACCAGCAGCAACGGCAAAAATGGTCCAAAGCAATGTCACCAAACTCATCTTGCTGTTGTGGAACGTGTTGTAGTTGTGTCTACCTGCAAATCACATTCATAGCTTTTATAGAGCGACACAAGTCTCTCTTTATCAATCACCTTATCTGCGTGTCAACAAACTTTGCCCGAAATAAAAAACAATTGGCCAATATTTCAAGTTCAGCGCCGGCCTTATCAATAACTATTTGCACTTACTCATTTCTCTGTCGCCGTTGTCTGACGTTGACCCAATAACCTTACACGCGGCGCAACTGAAGGTAGACGCTAGACTCAACAATCTCCGGTTGACTTAAGAAAATATTTATTTATTTGCTTTGACGATAATGATATGCATTTCACACTGCATTGTGTAAGCTGGCTTATGTTAATTATATAAGACGCATTTTGTGAAAATGTGTTAATATTATTATTATTATTTTATATATACAGCTTGTGTGCTAACTGACCTTCTTAAGACTTGGCTCGAGGTCAACGTTGATTACTTTATTAAATAATTGAAATACATCAAACAATTAACACAATAGGTATTTATAGATAGATTGATTTATACAAGACTAAGCTGAAGGCAAGGAAACTCATTAAATTGTACTTGCTTTAGAGATTTAATTTTCACTCAGAATTGGGATATGATTATAACAAAGACAAAAGCTTCTAGAGTAATCAAATAAATATTATAATAGAAGCAAGTAAAGCAAGTACACTAAGGAAGTGCTCGACTATGAGTTACCATAAGTTTTAATCGAGAATAACTTTGAATTAATTTATGGTCTTGTTCAGCTCCACAATCGACATCCAAATCCAAATCGAAAGAGCCAAATATTGGCAGCTCCGGGAAATGCAGCGGCTACGGCATATTTTTGGCTAAAATTTAATGCAAATTCTATTAAATATTTTCTGGAATAGGCCAAATCGAAGATGAGTCACACCAAAATTAACAGAGAATTCAAAGATTTGATTTCAGTTCTCTTCAGCCTTTAGAGTTTCTTTTAGAGCTAGTTCATTTCCCTCTTCAAAAATATATCTATTTAGAAATACTCTCATGTATATAGTACAACAAAATCAGTTCACCCTGATTACCCACATTAAATATGATAAACTTCTATTGAATTTATTATGTGCGGATTCTTATTAAATTCGATAGCATACTTTCCGGCTGTGGCAGAGCATAATTGTAGTGGCTACCTCGGCGGCGGCTTGTTTATTATTGGAATGAATCAATGGACGTGCGCAGGAAGCCGGCCACAAAAACCACAACAGAGACAGAGTGATGCTACACCAAAAAGTCGGCCAGCCATTTATGTATGTCAGGCAGGCAGTCATTCAGTCATTTAGTCATTTTGTCAGTTTTTCAGCCAACAATGCAGGCACTGCTGTCGTTGCGGTTTTCACACGGTTTTCTTTTTTTTTAGTTTATTTTTTTTTGTTGGCAACTCTCACGTTTTTGAGCCAAACATGGCAGCCGAGCGATACGCAGTTAGCTCTGGTGTTATTTCAATTTGTTTGGCTTTCGCACCGATACTTTATTTTGGCCAATAGCCCGTGCAGAGCAGCTGCGTTCGATGAACCCCGACCAGAGAAAAATTCTGGCAAACTGCAATTGACAGTCTCAATTATCAATATAGACGCGCCTAAGCCTTTTCTTACAGCGCAATAGGGATTGGTTTCGATTCGTGCATAATCTAAATATTCAGCTAATCGGCACACACAACAAGCCAATAAATTGGCGTTGGCTTAAAAATGCCTCAGGCGTTGGCAGCCCTTCGACTGTCTGCGAAAAAACACGCCTATAAATAAGCATAACTGTCAACATAACAAAAACACCAAATTGCCAGGGCCCGCAACAGCAACAACAACAAGTTTAGCTCCTTAAAAATCAGCCTTGGCTTAGTGAAAGTCTATGCCAAGTATTAGCACATTTTTACGTAACATTGGCGTAGGAGGCGTGGCACATAGACAGGCTAAACAGACATTTGGCACTTTCTTTTATTTGTTGTTGTTTGTTGTTGTTGTTGTTGCTGTTTATGCCGTGTGAACTTCAGCTGCAAAGTTTTTCAGCGAACGCCCAAACCTTTTGCTAACATGAAAATTTTTGCAATCTTCCAACTGTCACAAACACAAAATTCGACTTTTGACATGATTCGCAAAAAAAGAAAACTTTCGCAGCATTTTATTTAAATTTTTCCTCTTTGCAATTTTTAGCATAGCCCAAGGCAAAATTAAAAATTTCAATTTCCAAATTTCGTAATCGTAAAAGGCAGAAAAAATAATGTTGAGTTGAGAGCGGAATGTTAAGCTTAATAGTTTTTATTTTAATCAATTTTTTTTTGACAAGCTTATTATAAATAGACGAACAGCAAAACAGTTGTCGTATCGAAATATAAGTGAGAGAGTTGCAATTAAGAGTAAGTTAATATATTACAAAATCAATGTTAACTCCTCAACAAAGCTTAATTTTGACTGCTATCGGACTATTACTTTGTGAGATTGATGGATCGATCGTGAGACAGATGCTGTTTTTTTTAGAGCTATAGAGCTTTGAGTTGAAGATACACCACTTTATTTAAAATTTTTTTTTATAATTGGTAGTTGTTATTTGCTTATTTTAGTATGACATTTTATAATAAAAAGACAAACCCAAAAGTAAAACTTGCAAATTTTTGAATTTTGAATCAAAATAATAGTTTTATTCATCACACTTATCATACACTTCGTTCATTTTATGGCATGTATAATGTCTATGTATAATCTACTAGCTTTGTTTGGTGTGCTTCAATGTGCTTCACATGTCTTCAAAAATGACGTCGATTGCGGTCACGATTGTGATTGTAAAAACTGGAACAACAGATTGCGCCGTGTACTCAACAGTAGCTTCATCACATGACTAAAATCATATTGAAACACCAATGTTATAAAATTAACTATCAAATAAAGTTGATTTCAATGATATTTAAGCTTATTTCATTATCTGACTTTGATTGAAACTTGTACAACTCTAAAAAACAATCGATGCTTGCATTCGCAAGAGAGTCTGCTTACTTAATTGGAGCTATTATCTGTCAGTCAATCTTTAATACAGATAAATATATATACAAATGTCTTTAGCAAATGCATTAACACACAAATATATTTGTTCAACTGAGCTGCTTCGAGCTCTATAAAAAATTAAATATCTTATCATTCTCCAACTAATTTAAATGTATCTCAAAGACTCTTCTACTGAAATACTTGTTATGCGCTTTCCTTAGAATACAGTTGGATTTTCATTGTACAGCGAGCAACTTACAAATGGATTAAAAAACAACTGATTAAGGCAGACGGAGAAGGCAGTGCAAACGAAAGGTAAAGCCGAACAGAATTGCGATTTCTCTATGCAACACGCACGAGGCATGCAGCTGCTCGTTGCACACTAAACACGTCTCGATGTGTTTTCGAGTTTTGTAACTCATTTGCAACTAAACTGAGTTCATTAAAGTTAATTTGAACGTGCAACATCGGCGTGCCACACAACGCAGTGCTCAATGCAGCAACAAAGTGCGGGAAGGAAGCTGTGCAGAGACGTCATCCTGGCCACACAATGCACCTACTGCAGTAACTCTGTGTGAGTGTGTGAGTGTGCTCCGTGCTGGCTGTTTGTCCGGGCACGTGGCTTAGCGTCGATAAGTTTGACATTTGCACAACGTAAAATGACAACTCCAAGCCAAGCCGTACGCAAAATGAAAAAGTTGCCATCGGGCTGCGCACATCTCTGACATTTGCATTTGTCTTCCGCAAAAAGCTTTCAAATTAGCGACAGCTCCAGGTCCTTCTACTGTACCAGCTGCCGCACCTGCTGCTCCTCCTCCTCCTACAGCTGCTCCTGCCTCAGCCCCAACAGCTCCCACCTGCTGCAGCTGCCTTCAACTCACGTCGCACGCAGCACGCAAAGAAATATGCAAATAATTAGCAACCAAATGCAAAATTGTATTAACAGTCGCCAATAGCTTTATACTCTTACCAAATGTAAAAGGAATTTTTTACGCGTCAAACTTTGAGCTGGAATGGCAGACGAAAAAAACAGTGTAAAAAATTAAAATTAAATTAAAATTAAAATAAAATTATTTATTATATAAAATTAAATATAGTATTTAAAAAATGCAAAACTAAAATTTACTGAATAAATTAATGAAAATTAATTTCTTAAATAAATTTTATTCAAATTTGTAAAACGAAATTTATGATTATAAAAACTATTCACTCAGTATTCAAACAGCTCAAAAACTTTACAGTTTTCATTTAAGTTTCATGGAATTCACCTTGATTATTTATATAATGGACTATTTGCCCAACAAGATATATTCAAATGGCAATTATTGCTGTTGTTTGATAGCTGGCTAAGTGCACAGTCTGTTGATTCCATTTAGACAACGATTTTCAGTTATTTCAGTGTTGATTGGCTCAACAACAGCAACAGCAACAACAACATTCATTTCTACTACTTACATGCCAAAAAAAAAGCGAAAAAAAAGGAAAAAACGGCACACGCAATTTGCTTTGCGCAACTGATGCTCTCGATTCACTGACAAGTTTAGCAGCTCAGAGCTGGGGCCAGAGCTAAGCCAAAGTTATGGCATGGCATTCAAGCAAAGTCGTGTCTAAACACACAGGGAGAGAGAGTGAGACGAAATCAGTTTGAAAATTGAATTCTAATGCAGCATACCGAACTGAATCGAGCTGCTCGAAACTGAACTCAAGTGAACTGTGGAGTGACTTTGTGCTGCTCTGCCATTGACTAAAACAAATGGGTTCCACAACATCTTTTACTGTCAGCTGCAACTTGTCGCCCGGTCCATTTGTGCATTTGTATGTGTGTGTGTGTCTGTTACTATATAAATAAAATAAATATTTATATTGAAATGCAACGCAATCGAGCGCAACCGAATTGAATTTCAGTCCTGTTTCAGCAGTGTCCTATCCTATCCTGTCCTGTCCATCTCTCATCCTCTCTCTCTCTGTCTCGTTTGACTCCTGTCCAGCGCTTGTCGT